CTTGAAAACAATATAACTACATTGTTCATGGCAAAAAAAAATAGTTTGCTCATGATAAATTTATTTTTGAATGCGAAAAAAGAGAAGTAGCTGTCTTGCTCAGAACTTGTACTACTTAGTTGACTACTGGGAAGTGGCTAGAAATGAAACTCATATTGGGCTGGAAAAGAAAGGTGCTTCTATCTAGTTACAAGTTAACTGAGATTATCGTTTTAAACGCCTAGGTGTGACGAATTGACCCAATCGAGATCAAATCTATGACCGCATTTTTTAGATATTATTGTTTCAGGGACGTGTATCACTTGTCCACTGGAAGTAGTAAAAACGAGGATGCAGTCAAGCAAAGGAATTACACCAGTTGGACCCTGTACTAGTCAAGGAGGCACGTTGTTCTAAACTTGAGGCTGTTTATTAAGGTGTTGAAGGGTTCTTAATTTGAAGGTTGGCTCAACCACTGGGTGATCATATGATTTCTTCAGGCCATCGCTCCGGTACTTCTCCACCTTCAATATCTCGTAGTACGACTGCTCCTAAGGGACCAATGTCGTCAACATATAAACATTTTCTTGGTTAGTTACCTCGTCTCAATATTTTATTACGATATCACTCAACTAGTTGATGGCCACTCAGCTAGTTGATGGTATTACTCTGGAGAATCTCTTTACAATTTATAGTGGAAATGTATGTTTTCTAGAAAGCAACCGCCGCTTGGGTACTGATGTTCTGGGAGGATTAGTTGGAAAAGGTATGTTTATCGTGCTGTTGTTGCTTCTTCTATGTCCATTTCCATTTGTTCAGGCGACATCAGCCGCCATGGTATGTCGCTGGACTTGTCGCGATTCGTACAGTCACAAGTACAAGATTCATCAAACACTCCACGAAGACGATTAAATATATTGCGTTATTTCTCGTGAGTTTCGCTCATTACTTCGTTTTCTTCGTTTGCTATAACTTAAAGAACGTGGATATTCTCTTTCGTTCAACTCTGCTTTTATTGCGCTTGGTTTCTTTTTTTTCGCTTTTTTCTTTTTTGTCCTACCTGTGGCTCTGCAAAGAGGTTCATTTTGGATTGGCTCAAAGGCAGCGACAGTAAGCTGGGTGGCTACCCCTTCAGCTTTGCTCTCCAGTATGTAGCCCCTTCCTTCAGACTCCCAGTTATAAAGTTAAAAGAGTTATCAACCGGATAATCTCTCGCTGTGAGAGTACAGACCCAGCTTTTGAAGGGAGGAAAGTGAAGAAGAGAGAGAGAGAGAGAGAGAGAGAGAGAGAGAGAGAGAGAGAGAGAGAGAGAAAGGAACAATGAGGAGAAAAAGAAAAGAGAATGGAGCTCGCGGTTGACAGGTATCCTGAGACCGAAAAGGGTAGGGTAAGCGTAGAAAATGTCAAAAAGGAAATGAGTCCATGTACCAAGTTTTCCCACCTTTTAGAACACCCTTTTAGAACACCCTTTTTTATAGTCACTGTATCTGGAATTGACCACAATAACCCCATGGGGTTTTCTTATTTAAATATTCAATGTGCTACCGCTGACTGAGCGGAATGAACATGCTAGCACGAACTGACGTATCACAACTGCACGATCATCTTCCAGACTAGGTATTCGTTTCTAAAGTCTCCGCTCCCATAACGCAAAACCTGCAATTGCGCATTGTGGAAAATGGCGTTCAATAACGAAACTATAGTCGCTAGGTAACTTTCCAGGGAAGAAAAAAGCAAAAAGAAAAACATAGAGAAGGACAGTAAGGACCCCCTGACATCCTCACTGTACGACTTGTCCGGATAGGCTAGCTTTATGCCATCAGAGCGATATCTTGCCGCCGCCGCCTCACAAGTGGTTTCTTCGCGTTATCCAGTGCTAACAACATCTAGCAATGACACACTGAACTCGAAACAAGCAGTTGCCCCTGACTTGGAGGGGGGAGAGGGGCGGCGCACTAGGAAGGCGTCAGAACTGCCACATATGAGAGCTGCAGTGCCTTCATCACTTTTTGTGAAGCGGCGAAAGTGAGATAGTATTAGATATTAGAGACTGAGGGCTAGACTACTCCTAGACGCCTACGAACCGCTTGAGCGCGTGGACTGTCTTTAAGCGCCTGGGAACTCAAGATGTCTTTGCCGCTCATGCTAGCACTGAAACGCTCCTGGAATACATCACGGAAACCAAATGCGTGCATTTTACAGGTGCTAGTCGGCGTCAACCGTTTTTTTTTTGCCCTGTCGCTTTACGGGATCCTATTCGTGTAGCACCTTGTATGCTGGCAGGATTTCACATCGACAGAATGCCCCCCCCCCTCCCTTTCCAGTCCTGAATCAGCTTTCTCGCTGGAATCTTTTGAATTTTTTCATTTGTTCCGGTTGTAAGTCCGTTCTCGTTTCTTCTTCTAGGACCTAGTTCTTGCTAGAAGTGTCTTACTGGTCTCTCCTTTTTTTAGTTTCGCTGTTTTTCTGAATTTGGATGTAATTTTAGATCGTTTTAATTTCAGGCAAATTGTAAAGAATGAAGGGATCGGCGGACTGTACAAGGGTTTATTGCCGAATCTCGTCGGTGTCGCTCCATCGAAGTAAGTCTAGGATAATTTTGTTCCAATTTTTTCCTAGCCGTATTGCTCTGAG